CTACAACAACCACAACAAAAAAAAACAATTCAGTAGTTCGTGATATAAGTGTATCCAAACGCACAAACGCTACTTATTTAATAAATGCGCAATGAGAAGGTTTTGCTAGATTTCGAACCTTTAGGACAATTGTGGGAGAGCCATGCTTCGGCATGAATGTGTCGGCTCAACCGGAGTGATACCATGGCCTCACAGAAAACCGACGTGAAAAAACCACACCATTGTGTTTCACCGTGTGAGTGAGGTTACCGGAGGCCCAATCCCAACCCCTTTCCCAATCCCTTCCCAATTCTTAAATCTTCAAAACCCATATCCTTAAAAGACAGCGCACTCCTAACTTCTTTGGTGTTGTGGAAGTCAGGTAATTCGTGTGGTCGTTTGCCGACATTATAATATATAAAAAAATTACTAGAAAGAAATTATCGACGTAGAAATTACAAAGAAAATTCTCTACCAATTTAATAAATGTAATATACACATAAATTTTAGTAAAATTGCAAAATGAATCAACCGTAGTTAGGTACTAGTAATTTATATGTGTCTCCAAAATAGTCGGGTCATCGTTTCATACGTAGATATTGTATTCAAATGGAAAACACATTAGCCAAATTGGATTTCACAACTCCATTTTACATATACCTACATGTGCCCTTCTATATTTACAAGGCTATCCATGTATGTGTTCGACGAATTCTATATTATAGTGTGACGTCATTTGTTTTGCTGCTAACAACAGAAGCCTTTCTTTTTTCGTTAGACATTTACTCCTTTTACAGCTTTATTTAAAGGTTGTCTAGAAGAGATCGCCTTGTAAGATAAAATTGCCCATTGCACACAATTTTTTTGTAAGTTATTCTACGTAACAGTACAATTACCTATCATTATCATCATCAGCCTATAAGTGCCCACTGCTGAGCAAAGGCCTCTTCTCACACTGAAAAGGGTTGAGTACTAATCAATACGCTTGCTCAAGGCAGAATGGGGATTTTAAACTGATAAGGAGAAATTATAAGTCCAGGTTTCCTCACGATCTTTTCCTTCACCGTATGTCAGTAGTGTCTTACTAATCATAGAAAGTATTTAACTTGAAAATGGTTACATAAGGGTGCGGGTTCGGAACCTAGCAAGCACGTCAGGATACGAAACCTTACCCTTGCGGGTTACTTAGCCTCCGGGCCACCACAACGTTATACCATACACCATAATATACACAGTAACACAGATCAGTCAAACGGCAAAAGTATGAGAGTAAAATTTTTAGTTTTCAAATTTTTGATATTTCATATTTCCATCTTCACTACACTTATGCTCGACCTTTTACCCGACTGCTCAATAAAAATAGGTCATGCTTTCACCACGATACATCGAGAAAGCGACAAATCCAATTCACTTCGTCAATTTTGAAACCTTTCTCGTTTTAAAAGATCCTACACTCTTCAATTTTACTGGCTTGTTACGAAGTTCCATAGCTTCAATACCAAGTTAAGGAAAAGTATTATTAAGTTCTGCTATTTCAAAAATATTAATGCCAGGTCTAGCACCGAGTTCTCTTAGTTATCCTAGTGAGGGGTGTACTAGAAAATTTCATTCATATCCCTTTGTTTTATTCAGTTGCGATAGAATTATAGATTTACAAAGTTGGCCATATAGTTATATTAATTTTTATGGAATATGGCGATAAACAAGGAATTCTTCGAGTGAGAGGAAGCTTTAGTTCACCAAAAAGCACTTATAGACTTATAGATGTGTGGTTTATGAAATGACAGTGATGACAGTTAAAAAGACGTATGACCTGGCGCTAATTAGTTTACGCCACCCATTGTCATCCAAAACACTGAAGGTGTTACAAGTACTAACGTTACCCGCCTTTTAGGATTGGCGATATGATAAAATGACTTAAATCTCTGGTGATCTATGTCACGGCCAGACACAGGCGTTGTTTCACGTCGGTTTTCTGTGAGGCTATGGTATTATTATGCGCGACGTTGTTCCACGCGTGCCAAAGCATGGAAGTCTTTGGGAGACAACAATTCATTGCTTAATCGTTGATGACATATGACATAAAAAAAATCTATCGCAAACGATAACTGCAAGTAGGTCACACAACCAACCCTTTACTGAAGGTAAAAAATAAAATCTTTAAATTCCCAAGGAAACGCTCAATCCATAAAACTTTACGGCTAAAGCTACGCAGAACATTAAAAAGGAAAGGGCTCCAACGATCTCATTGAAAAGCGAGAAGTCGCTACTGCAAACAATTGTAATCATTACGATTCTATGAAGGAATTCCTTAAAAGTGCTATTAAAATTAGTTATACGAATCATAATGGCGCGTTGTTGTGAACGGTTATTGAAGAATAGCTCATTTCGTTGGTAAAGTGGTTGCAATTACCATTGTTGAATAGAGAACGAAGTTAAGGACGTTTTTAAGTGTTTTTAAGTCATTAATCAGTATGTCTGATACCATACCTATAATGCAGTAAGAGATTGCAAAATGTAAAAAAAAAATTGTACGTTTGAAGTAGTAAGGAAAGTGGTAAAAAAAGTAAAAAAAAATCGGTACTAGAATACTGTTCTCTTTCAAAATCGCTGCAAATCCTTAGTCAAGATATTAGCTATTTATACCTATTACAAAAAATCTTAAAGCAGCTCATTCCATGAACATGAATAAATATCCTGGATCGAATTGGAAGATATAGTTAGAGAAGAAGAAATGTTATCCACTGACCAAAGCGACCGTAAGAAAATTATTTAAGTAACAAAATATCATGTAAATGAATTTTGATTTCAACAAACTTTCTCCCTTTCACTAGCTACTGCAATTCTAGCTAACAAGCCAATTTAAAACCAACACAACTCTTTCGTTTCATTTTCAATTCCATTTAATCTTCAAAGTGTAAAATTATTTAATCCGTCCCGACGTTACATTAATAGCTCCACAAATTGATTTAAAATATCAAAACGTCAGGCGCAATGCATTGAAATCCTTTAATGTCATAATTAGGAGTTGGCTACATGCTTTCCATTAAAGCATTTAAAGCCAAGACACTTCGTTTCTAATTTTAGACAGATTTATTTTGGCTGGCCTCTATTCTAGGAGTTGATCAATAAATATTTGTAGACAGTATTTCTATAATAAGGAATAAAATTCCTTTCAGTTAATTCCTGGATAATCTTTTACAGTACAATTTTATTGCTACCTGAGGAGATAAAATATCGTCTTTTTGTTAGTATGTAACTTTTGTGTCAATCCCATTTTTTTCAATACGTGAGCTGCATTGCTGGTTTGGTTCATGACTGCTATAAAAGGCTACCCTATTAACTAAATTGTGACCTTGATTACCAATGTTTTCTATTATTCCCTCCTTTTTTACTACAATTTCTCTTCTTTGTGAGAATTCATTGAGAATAAGGTCTTATTTGAGCTAAGAATTATCTGGGCTAAGTTCAAGTTTCAAATCATGACGGGATTCTTTTCCATTAACAAGATGCGCTTCAGCCACGTCCCCTGTCTTAGTTGGCTGCTCTTTCTCTCACTCAGTTAATTCACCTGAGTTAGTCGGTATTTTCAATATATTTTTCTTGTCTCTCGATATTATGTGACTTGTATTAGATCGTCATAGTCTAAACGGTGCATATTTTATCTATTGTGATCAGATTAAGTCTCTATTCATGGCGCCTCCTTTGTTGTGATTATCCATTAGTGACTGACCCAAAGTTTATGAATATTGTTGAATTCGTTCTTTATAGAACTTGGTATGGCGTTCGATGTTCTGATTTAAAGTGGCTGTTCGTCCATCACGGTACAGTATTTCATTGGTTCCAAAATAAGGCGCTATGGTCTCTTTGCCTTTTAAAATGTATCAAAATCTGTTGTTTTCTCAAAGATTTAAGAATACATGGAAACAGATAGAGCAACTTTGTTTTATACTATACTAGCTTTCGCCCGCGACTCCGTTCGCGTGGAATAGTGACTTCCTGCAGATTTTTGGCATAAAAACTATCCTATGTCCTTTCTCGAGTTTCAAACTATGTCTGTACCAAATTGTACAGAAATCGGTTCAATAATTTAGGCCTGAAAAAAGACAGACATACAGACTTAATTTCGCATTTATAATATTAGTTTTTATACTGATGACACAGAGTTAAGCCAATAACAATTTTCCATAACGACGACGATGAAACCTGGATTAAAATTAGTACTTTTCAACGAAGCAATGGACCAACAGAGCAAGATAAGCACATTTATAAGTGGCGATCTCTTGATCTGTATTGATGGAGATGGTCCATTGATTGCATTCGAGGTCTCGTAATGAGAGGAATGAGGATAAATTTCCATTTGCAAACAAGACTAATGACCATAGCGTAAGAAACCAAGCTACTCTTCAATTGAATGGATGGTAAGAAAAATATTGATGATTCTGAGTAAAGAGGTTGTTTTGAAATGGTTTTCAATGAAGAGCCTAAATGGCATAGCTTTGGAATGTCTGTATTTTATAAAGTATTTACTTTTCGTATAACTGCTCCAAACTGTACATGCCAGTGAAAAAAAGTGATATAGTCAACGAGAAAAGCCTAAGAAAACAATTTAAAATACAAAACTAGACTTTACACCGTTATTAATAGTTTTGGAATTTGAAAAACACACATTCGCTCAGATAACGATTTGGAATAGAACAGTGCGCTTGAATGACTTAAGAAGATGTTTCAGACAAGAATATCCAGCCAAGCAATTTCCAACTTTATTTAAATACAAACATGATACTTAATTCGATCAAACAGAACACCTGATATTTTTATCCCGTAAGTAATAAACAATTCCGAAAATGAGGCCCTAAATAAAACCAGCCCGAGCAAAGTAAAAACACATGTACATTCAACGCTCTCGTTACTCCTAATAACCCTTCAAATTTATACATCAAATTTCACTCCACGCAAAAATAAACCATTTCTCTATTACATATAGGGTACATTTTCAGTTAGACGAGCTAGTGAAATTGTCACCGTATCAGATTATAACTGATGAGGGTCGGTAATAAGATATTATGGAGACGGTTGATGAAACTAGGCGAAGAAGACTGCATAGCGGCGGGGTTTTCACCTGCGAAAGAAAAAAGTATATTAATAAAAGTTTTTATATCATACATTTTGTAGGTCATGTTACATTTTTATACTGTATTAGTATTTTTTGTTACAAGGATAAAAATTGCCTTTATGTTACTACACCTATCGCTTTGCTAAATTTCGTTCAGATCCTTTCAGTAGTTTTTACGTGATAGATTAACAAATAAACATCCATATTTAAAAACTTTCGTGATTAACGTGACATGAGAGTAGTATGTGATAGGATTAGATATAATACCTATTTAGATATGAATAATATAATTAAACTAGCTCTTACCCGCGGCGTCGCTCCCGTCATTTGACTACTTACCCTACTCTACCTACCCTACTCTACTTACACTACCTACCCTACTTTACCTACCCTACTATACCTACCCTACTCTACCTACCCAACTCTACCCACCCTACTCTACCTACCCTACTCTACCTACCCAACTCTACCTAACCTACACTACCTACTCTATCCTATCCTATGTCCTTCTCCCGACTTTAAACTACCTCCATGCCAATTTTCAGCTAAATCGGTTCAGCCGTTCTTGAGTTATAAGTGGTGTAACTAACACGACTTTCTTTTATATGTATAGATGTGTATTTGGCTTCGTTAATGTATGTTAATGTTTTGCGTGACTGGGCTGATCCTCCTTTAGACAGAGCATTAAACATTGCATACAATGTCAAATGCTACCTTTGATTACGATCATACTAAATATATATTAAATTAACACTATAATTATTAACTATTTTTATAGAATAGGGGCAAACGAACAGACGTTTCGCCTGATGGTCGATGGCCGCCCAAGATTCCTGCAGCACCAGAGCAGTCACAGGCGCGACGCCGGTTTATATAGAAGGAGTACGCACGTTCTTGAACGCTTGAAGAATCTTTTTTTTACGGGTTATAACGTTATTTGACGAAATAAGTGGATCTCTCGAGATCTTTCAGGCAACGCAAATGCTTAACCAATGAGTTGACTCCGTGAGACATCGTTAGTCGCGCAATATAATCTCGCTCAATATAAATCGCTCATAAATAAGAGCCCTTACCGCGACTTGAATCTTGTCAAGTTACCTGGTCAAATTACGTGAGTTAGTAAAAGATAATTAATTTGATAAATGTTGTTAACGTTTTCTTAAAGTTAGACAAGGATAGACAGATATTTATGATGGTACCGTTTTAATTTAATGCTAGACTGGATTCTGCTAACGATGCCTTGGCTCGCGGTGAGCGTCGTTTGAATTCAAATCAGTCTGACTGTTCTAGTGAAGTAAGTAGAGTGGAAATGGTCATAAATATTAATATTGTTTCTTATAATTATTTATTGTTGAAATATTATATATTTTAGTCTAGTTTTGAGACTGGTAAGTGATTCTAGGATTTGTAAAAGTACCTTGTTTTGGGGTTTCGATGGTAACAGAATACGAGACATTCGTATAGGTTTCATTGAAAGTATTTTTAGAGTAAGATTGTACTCCAAGATACATTATATATACCATGAAAGCGATGACTTTATAACTACCCACTGAACATTATTTAAAATTCCAATTTTTTCCTTTTTAAAAAGTTGTCTCACATCAGGATTTTCTCCAGTGTCGTGGATGCGTTTACAAACATACAATTTACACAAACATCACATGCAGACCCGGGACCACAATTTGTGGATAAAATTAAGAGTGGCTCCGTGCGGGTATCAAACTCAACACATATCACGGCAGCCAATTGCCCAGCCACTGCACCAACCGTGCAGTCTAAATTTCTTAACAACACAAAAATCCCTTTCTCAATTTAAAAATTGAACTTACAACCTCAACAGTGACTCTTATTAGCATTTCAACGAAAAGAACAGTCAGCAATAACATCATCCAAGACACTAACGACTAAAATAAAAACATTTAAAAAGAAAACAACGAACAGAGACTTAGAATACATTTCTTATTTCCTTATAAAAATATATATTTAAAAGACACCAAACGACTTCAAATTATACTGTAGCTATCGATGAAGACATTTCCCGAGGAAACCGCTTCGGTTGAACAATGAAATTAAAATTTACCGTTCAAATTGTGTCTGGTATCAAGATCTTGGTAGAATAGTTATTGACTTTGTAATATTTGGCGTACAATGGCGCAGTTTTGAGTTGATAGGGAATCTGATAGGTCTTATTTAAAGAGACAATCATGTATATTTGGTGGCTTCTTTTCTTATTATTTAAGAGGATAGCATTTGGATAACATATTGTTTGGTGTAAGCGATGGGTGGGATGTGGCTGATGATGGAACTAGTAATAAGGGAACTAGCCACTTGGGCTTTGAAGATACGTAAAGCTGTTCAAGAAATACGGACTCTGACAACTAATCCCACTCTTAAACCGTTTGGACAAAGAAGCTTGATTTTTTCTGTAATAGTGGGGGCAAACGAGCCTCTGGATTACCTGATGACATGTAATCGGGGCCGGTCATAGACACCCGCAACATCCAAGGAGTGCATTGCAGTGCAGTGCATAAATGCATTGCCGGATTAGGGTTTAGGGATTGAAGGAGGGGAAGAATTGAGCCTCCGGTTATCTCATTTATACTACGAAACCCAACGCTGTGGTTGTTTACACCGGTTTTCAGTAAAACCATGAAGTATTCCGGTCGAGCATATCCACGTGCTGTATGGCTGTATAGCTTTCCAACACTTATAGAATTTTAATTGAATCTTTTGATAAATTAGAAACCTCATTCAATAAAACAATGAAAAGGTAAATTTATTTTTGCAAATAGTCTTTATGACGGCACTTTTACACGTCAAAGTTACATACCAAAAACTAGATGAATGCAATCCAATAAGTTCAATTTGAAAGTGTAATCTAAGTATACCTCAACCACACCATAGCAATTTCTCTGAATCGTTTCATTTCGTTCGTCTTAACCCGCCTTGACATCGAAATCCTTGAACAGAAAACAACAAAAGGAGACGTCAAGGACTAAAGGCATCTGCAGAGGATATTTCGAATATAAGGTTTTAATCAATAATTTCTTAATAAAATATGCAAGATTGTAAGTGAATCGCTGTCGTAAAATTCATTCGTGAAGGATAATATCCTGATGGCATATCGGAATACTAAATTTTTTAGGATGAGTTACGCACTCAGTTCGAAATCCGCAGAAGAAAGACTGCAGTAAGTAATATCTTTTTATATTACATTCTTTTTTTCATATTAAAACTCTTCCTGAGTAATGCAAGGTCCTCCAAGAATCTGCTAATCTTTTTGAATCGATTTTATTCGATTTTCCAACGCAATCTAACAATTATGATATTATATAATGCTTGTAGATATTTTCTAAATCAGGAATATTTTATGGTAAAAGTAATCCTTTTCTGTTTGAATATCCATATGACGATGCGCACGTAAATTGAGTCACCATACCCCATATAAAAATAGCAGAATCATTTTTGTTTTTCAAAGGAGTTTCTGAGAAGTATACAAAAGTGGAAGATCAAGGAAAACCTGGATATATACGAGAAAAGAGTGCTTAATAAAACGTCGTTTGAAGTTTGGAAAAGAATGAGACACATAAAGCCAATGACTCTTCTCATTTTGAAAATAAAAGATATGAAACACGGAAAGAGGTAGTATACAAGTTAATAATTCAAAACAATTGACAAACTCTATTTTAAAATACTATTAGTAAGAATTGAAATACAAATATTTATTATATTTATTCTTTACTAGCTACTCTCGCAGTGTGTTGTTTTCTCTAGCGTGATGTTTTATAGCCTATAGCACTCAAGAACATTGTAGCTATCTATCAGTGAAAGAATTTTGGAAATCCGACCAGCGGTTCCAAAGATTATCCCCTACGTACAAACTTACAAAGATACAAACTTACAAATTTTACCTCTTTATAATATTAGTACCTATAGATATACATATCGGAGGACTTAATGCTAGAAGGATTTTCACCCAGTCATCCTTTTAGTAGTCCAGAGGTGTGTGGTAGATGACAGGCAGCAATTTAGGAAGTTACGGGAAGTGGAGGTGTAAATCAATACATTGTCAGCTAATAAGTATCCACTGCTAATCAAACGCCTCTACACAAACGGAGAAGATTTGACACTGGCTCAAAGCATACTGTTGATTATAAACTCATAATTATAAATTATAATTCTTGGATTTTCCCGATGTCTTTCTTTACTATACGTCTATGGTGCCCAAATATTTTTAGACGGCTAGTTAGATAACAGCCAATTTGTATTTAATGTTTAAATGTAGAGAGTCTTGTTTAAGATCTATAAACTTTTAAGTCTATAATAAAAACTAAGTACTGACTATATCAACCGTCCATAGCCCTGTAATAAGAAACTTAAGTATTTAAAATTACGACTTACGAGCATTGAATGATTAAAATTCGACTAATTTCAAGTCACAGTGGGACTCTTATTCATAAACAGCATGTGCCACGACGCGTTTGGTTATTTCGCTCGAGTTAGTCGTTATTTCCATAAAATTTGGTAAGTCTCACCATAGGTATTATTAAAAAAAAAGAAAGTTTTAAAAATAGAAGGGTTTGCCTCTATCGCTACGCTTAGCAAGCGGAGTGGAGATCAGCTTACATAGTTTATTATGTAAGGCTTTTCTAAACTACATTTGAAATAACGGTCAAGAAAAGGAAAAGCCCTGAAAGGTTTTCCACAATTAGTCTTATTCAATTTCCTAGTATTTTGAAAGCCTATAGTTCAATTTGATAGACATGAATTTATCCGCTACGATTCCGAAGCTTAGTGCGTAAACCCAAAGAGATGTTTGAAATATTCATGGTTCGATGAGCACGTGATTGACTCGATTCCTTCACCCGACTCTTGGATAGCCCCTTTTTGACTCGCTCAACCAGTTCTCCCGATCCAAATTGAATAGTTAAAGCTTTGATGGGGGTATCAAAGATTTGTTACTCACATTCTGTGCTCCAAAAATTTTAGGACCAAAATTATTTTTGCTTTCATTGTAAATTTGGAGGTTTGGCTTTTGATCATTAGTTCTGTGACTTGATTGAGAAAAGTAGAACGCTTTTTTATTGTTTTTTCAACATTCAATAGCATTGACTATAACATTTTATTCGTCATTATTTGGAATGTACTACACGTGTTTTATGTCCCATAATTTTTGCTCAACAAAATCTTATTTATTCTAAAATCCAAGTCAAGTCCATTATCTACGTGGATTTATTGAAAGCAATGATTGACTCTTGTGAATTAATTGAGAAAAGCTATACCAATTTCATATCCTTATTCGTGAGCAGCGTCCAGTCATTATTCTTGGTAAACTCAGTATTTCTCATTATAGTAACAGTTACTATACAAAAATGTTCGTGAATACCGAACCTGGTATTTCTTCTCGCCCACGAAATTAATATGGCAGTCTGAAAAAAATTCTGAGTATAGTAAATACAGCTATTTGATGGATGGCATAATATTCCATTTATAATGTTCCCTGATATTCCGCCTTCCGATATTATTCCTTTGAATTCTTGAACTTGGTGTTGGCTAAAAGGTTTTTCTTTGTAAGTAGGGGTTGACTGACCTAGGTTTAGACTGATCGGTGGTAAGAGTTTATTGTCTTCGAATGAAGTGATCAATCAAAATATTGGCTATTTTAGTACCTAGTGGGTTTATTCATAAGTAAGATCCATGCTTCGGCACGAATGGTTTGGTTCGACCGGAACGATACACGGTTTCTGAGAAAACCGGCGTGAAACAACCATAGATTTTTGTTTCGTGTTGTGAGTGAGGTTACCGGAGACCGAAGCTTTCTTTCTCTTCCAAATCCCCCCTCAATCCCTAAACCTTACAAAAGCAAGACCGAAAATACTTATTAAGGGTTAAATATATAAAATTAATGAAAACAAAGAACGGTATCATCCAAAATTCGCAGATAATCTTCCTAACTCGTACTGACAAAACTTATTACGAGTATATTATATGGCGAAATTATGTCGACCCACTTCCATAGCGTATAATGTGACAAAATTAAATTGTACCCTAAGTGTAACGGGCTAAAATACTTTCTTTTAGGAAATTGTAATGTTTATTTAATTTTACGAATTTTATTATTTATTACAATCTGAAGGGGTAGAAACCAATGCGATCATTAAAACATGGCATTCACTTTTCACCAGTTATGGTAAATGGGTCATTTATTGGGAGCATATCAATTTGATATATACATACATATCGGGCAATAGGGTTGCGAAAAGATCGTTCTTATTACTTAAATGAATAAATCTATAGTGTAATGTGTAATAAATAAGTGTGGGAGAGCCATGCTTCGGCACGAATGGGTCGGCTCGACCGGAGTGATACCACGGCCTCACAGAAAACCGGCATGAAATAACCAAAGAGTTGTGTTTCACCGTGTGAGTGAGGTTACCGGAGGCCCAATGTTTCCCCTTCCCCAATCCGTTCCCTTTCCCTAATCGCTAAAGGTCGTCAACGCACTCGTAACTCCTCCGACGTTGCGGGTGTCCATGGGCGACGCTGATTGCATCAGATAATCCGTTAGATCGTTTGCCGACCTATCACATAAAAAAAATATCTTCTTTCTATTTATATAGAGAGTCACTTTTACTTTTTAACAGGAGATAGTCATGAACTGTCTTGTCTCAGCTTGGGTGGGGCGAAAAGGAGTGTCAGTCTCTTACTGACTTCCAAACGATACCGTTCCGTCTCCTACTCCTTTCCGCGACCGCGGTGCATTATTGTGCTTGCACCCGCAACCCTTATTAGTCGGTCGACTAGTTTCAAGCCACGTTTGGGGTTCATAATTATTATGAAAAACGACGTGGCTAACGTCGCGCGAGTGTTTTCTTCTTTGTTTTTTTTTTAATGGAATAAAAGGCAACCGAGCAAACGGATCACCTGATGGTAAGCGATCGGCACCTGCAACACTAAAGGAGTCACAGGTGCCTTGCCGGCCTTTTAAGAAGGAGTATGCTCGTTTCTTTAAGGTTTGAAGGTCGTATCGTGTTAATCGAGTAACTCATCAAAAATCTACCTATGTGTTTTAACACCGAAATACTTGTATGTATATTACTTTGAGTCATAGGATGTATCTGCAAAATTAGTAATTTTAATATTACTTTGGCCGACACGATGATCAAAGTCGAGACTCGTGGCAGTTGACCTTGGGTCCAATGAAGCAGGCACGAAATATTTGACCTTTCTAACATAATGTAATATTATACTATATTTTGGCGACCCTACTCAAATTAGTCGGCGAATATAACAATTTATTCGCGAAGGTTATTTTTATAGGCGACGAAACGGTCCCTGGATTTTTTCACCTTATTTCGTTCGGTGGATCGTGTCGGCGATGCCGTGTGTAATGAGAATTTTCGACGAATTTTTATTTGGTTTCAAGTTTATCTTTCGAGAATTTTTATTCCTAGTGTGGATATTATATTTTCGTTGTAAAACTATGCGGTTAAAATAATATGACCATTTTTGAAGAGTACAATTTGTCGTTTTTGAAAAATCATATTGTAATTTGGTCAGTCTAACATAACAGAGAGATTCTTCGGCACGATTTGATCGGCTCGACCGGAGTGATATCACGGTCTCACAAAAAACTGTTTCGCGCGTCACAAAAAGCGTTATGTTTCGTCGTGTGACTGAGGTTACCGGAGGCCCAATCATTCCTCTCCCCCTCCCCGATCCTTAAATCTCCGAAACCATCATCTCAAAAAGCCAGCAACGCACTCGTGACTCCTCTAGTGTTGCGGATGTTCATGGGCGGGTCCCATTGCTTACCATCAGGTAATCCGTCTACTCGATTACCTATCACATAAAAACAACAAGATAATTGTTGACATTACAAAGATATATATAATAAATGCTAGAAATTCCACTATACACCATAGCTGAGCAATAAAATGATGGCACCATTCCAGATGGCATCCCTTGACTTGGAGATATCGGAACCAATTCTTCCATCAGATTCTATCTCAGATAAGTCAGAATGGAAACCATTTAATTTCAATAAACCTAGTAAATAAAAACCCTAAAGCAAGAAAAGTCCGAATATTACAAAAAATATCGTACTTTTAATAAAATATTTATAACTTCCCAGATAGTAAATTTTATCGGGTCAGCTAGTAATAAATACAGCGAAAAATATTAGTTCAGTCTGTTTAATATAACGTTCGTAAGTAAGAAACGTTGAGAGCCAATAAAGCAATATTTGAGGAGATGAAAAAAGAGCAAAGATGGTAAAAACTCAAGAAAACTTGGCACTAGGCCAGGGAATATAAAAAGAAACTGCAAGTAAACTGTCCTTGTGATTTTTTTGTGGGAAACTATATTGTTTGGTTGTAAATTAATGAATTGATGGTAATTTTAATCAATTGTAGAGAATGTATTATTGAAAATAGTCATTGAATGACTTGAATTGAGAATCAAGTTGGTCACAAGAATGCGATTTTGTATCTAATTGGGACAAGTCGAGGAGGCCTGACCACGTCCAATTGATCAGAATTGAGAGAAGATAATTTATTGGAATTCGTAACAACATAGTGAACAGAAAGAAATACTAGATTCTAGTTATTGTATATTTTGATAATGAAAAATTCAATAACAATCAGTGTAAGCACTAAAGCATCCGACAATCAGATCTCCGAGGTATGTGTCATGCTTTGCACACAAATATAACGACATGACCAAAACCTTGTGTAAAATAGGGCTTTTTTGTGAGGGGAAAATCATCAAATTGCGCTCATTGCCCTTACCCCTCAGCCCTATAGGGACAGGATATCTTTGGAACAGGATGGAATTGAGTCAGCATGAGTCTGACACTCCCAGCAGAGGACGAGAGAAATCACTGGATGATTATCCTCATCCAAAGGAATCCCAATTCCCATGTTTGCCAATCCTCAAATCCCTAGCCTACAATCAATATATCGGTGTTGTGTGGTGTTTGCCTTCCTATCCCATAAAAAGCTACAGAGTAGCATGTTGTCCAGAATAACGTCAATGTTATGTATGTTCAACATATGTTTGTTTGTTTACAGCAGAGAGTACGACCAAGTTTTCTAGGTCACCGATATTGTGTTTGCTACAAAGTGCGTCACTTCCAACAAGTTCGACTTTTTGATTGTTCTATCATAACATGATGTTATGTTATTCCGTGACATTATGTTATATTATTCAATTTTTACAGTGGTAGGACCTTTTGCAAAAATATACTAAGTAATGCATTCATTTTCGGGAAGCTTACCTTACCTCTCCTAAAACTTCTGCTGGGGGGCAAGATGTCCCACGGCCAAGTTTATAAAAAAAGGAACAGAGCGATACTTAGTAAGAGTCTGACCCATTTTGCCCCATCCAGGGTGGAAAAAGCCGTTTGAGTATTTTTCTTGTCAAAAGAGTCCTCTTTATTTTCAAGTCCGAAGTGAATAGTTATAGTTACTTTTTACCACCAAGCCTATAACAGGCCAAGTACCTATCTATCTTCCTTAAATGCACCACGTCGGATCTATAAAATTTGTTTGATTTTGAATCTTGTCCGAGTGTGAGTGGAAATTATATTATAGAATAGCACTTGTAACGTCATCTAATACTTTATATAAGTTACAAAATGTTGCAGTCAATTTATTTCAACTTACAGGTGTACTACACTACTCACAGCGGATTCAGATTAGAAGTTAAGAATGAAACTTACAGAATCACACTGCATATACGTAAATATTAAAACAACTCACCATTAAAAATATGGACGTATATACTAGCAGGTACAGCGTTGTTTGGCACACAGGTGTAGTTGCCTGCGTGTGATACACTGGCTGCAGGTATCAGCAGATCTGATAGTCGCTGTACTGGATCTGTCGTGACGTTTATACCACGCTCCACATCATAGTTTATCATTCTGCTGTTGTGGTACCTGGGGGCAACAATAAGAGATTTGGTTAAGTATTTATTAGAATGATTTATTAAATGTTAGGGAAAATATTTAGTTTTAATTCCGCGACAAAAATCCAGGCTTATTGCAGGATGCAATCCCACTCCTATGCAATCATGCATATGCACATGCAGCAAGGGTCCCACCCTCAATTTTTTTTATTATCTCTGAAGTTGTGAGTTTTCTACTAACAATAGCTCATACACATTACACCCAGACCTGGAACAAATATTAACTAACTCTGAGATGCGTTGCTTAGCAGCTGGTTGTCCAAACACAGCGTCGACCATGCAGTCGTATTTGCTAGATTAATTAATATTTTGTTTACAGCTTTTTCAGTAGTATTCAAACACGTATTCAAGTTCATTACAAGGCTCACTTAAAAAAATGCTTAAGAACGGAGACCCCAGGTTAGGGCATAGACTGGTAAATATTGAACAAGATAAGTTTTATATCTTTTCAAGTTTATCCAAACTATAGAACGAACGAATTCATATGGAAGACAAAAATAATTGTAACTTCATTGTGTTACAAAAAAAAAATGGAGATTTCAGATACATTTAAAACTCCAGGTTAGCTCAAAATCAGGGATTGCAGGTCAAGTGCAATAATGTACCGCGGTTTAGGCTTAGAGTGGGAAAGAATGGGTTTTTTAGCCAGTAGTCCAGGGCCAAAGAAGACATATGACGATTAATTTTCTCCCTTAAAAAAATACCATATTCAGACTTTTTGTTCTTTCTCGATAGCCCATCATCGCATAGCCCATAGCCAAAGTTGTGACAACTTCAACTAACGTCACATATCAATTATATTTACCCCCGGTAAACATAGATTCACAATAACAGCTACTACTTTCCTTCTACCTCAAACAATAAAAGGCAAAAGCGAAAAAAGTCACAAAGCACTTTGTTCCACAATAATGCTGTAACACGCGTGGAAAAACATACCTTACCAGCCATCATTTTCTCTGAATGCCTTTAACAAGACAATAAGGAAAACGTAAACCAGTTATTTAACGAAAACAATACGCCGGGAGCCATTCTATAAGCTTTTTAATTAATAAAAGACGAAAATCAAAATGGCTCCTTTGAAATCGAGCTGACAGCAGACTCAATAAACAATGCGAAACAAAAACAAAAGTTGTCGAATGAACGAAAACATTTTATTAGAGAACAGAACAGCAGGCAACAAATAGCCAATCCATCTTAGTTTGTTGATTTTATTAAAAATAAATGTTCCTATTGACAACTGTGATTGTTATTCGAAAACTGACTTAGGTAATAAACATTGTTTTTATATTAATCAGCTTTGTTTTTCTTTCAAGGTTAAAGTAAGGATTTCTTCTCTACTTAATCAATAACACTATGCTTATTAATAGGTGTTTTGTCACCTGGAGTTAACTTGACAAACATGTAGTTGAATAAACCGTAAAACATATTTAATTAATTTAATATTATCATGTCTCACGAAATTTGTAATACAAAAAAAGTAGATAATGGCAAATACCTAATTAAAGTACGTATCAGATTTTCTGTATTATAAAAAAGAAAATTGATATAACAAAAACAACCAAACATTTTCGTCTAACAAAAACTAAACCTCAATACCAACGCAAGCTAAAGGAATACATAAATCCAGAATCATTACCAGACTAAGACAAAATGTGCCTACCAGCCAACTGGACCATTTATGTAGATATATAGGCAACTGTTAGCGTCAAGTCTTACAGTTGCCAAGTCGTACTGCCAAACCTTATTTGCTGAGCAAATTAAATTGACGGAGACATCTTTTGAGCTTCAATCGTGTTACTGTTAAAAGAAATACTTGTATTCGTATATTTTGTAGGCTTTTGCTATGTTTATATAAGATCTATTTTTGGAAATGTTAGGGCGAACATTTTTTGCAGATGACTCTTAACTTTTGTAGAATTATAATTACTTAGCAAATTGGACATGGAATTGTTTTCAAAATTTACTTTACCAACCATGCAAATACTGAGGAATTTAAAATAAGAATACAATTTAATGATGAAACTCAATAATTCGTACATCTTTTCCGTCGAAAAGCCATCATTTAACCTACATAAAACGACGCTAAGAAAAATGAACGTGAGTTAAAAGAAAAACATGAGAACATCACTCCCAAAGATGTATGTCAGAAAGGTTGAAGCTTGACACATTTTTAAAAACTGGACCAGTTTTAAAAGAGCAAGTTTTTAAAAGCAATTGGACGGAGTAGTAGGTCGTTGGATACTGGCCAAAATTCAACCACAATTTGATTTAAAAGAGTTTGAAACAAAATTGTTTATTTAAAAGTTTACCTTTTAGATATTAATAAATCCAATTTTTGAGTCTGCATAGTACCTACATATGTTATCTTAGAATTGGAAATAGCTCGAAAAACTTTGCCGAAAATTGCTTCTTATCTTGAAGATCAAATATTTTGTAATGGACCATGCGCTGATTTAGTTATGATCTTTGACATACATCGAAAATAGTTTAAAGAGGGGCGAGAAGGGGAGTTTCAGTCCAAAATCACCCCGTTCTGTCTTCTGCCGGCCGGTGCCTTGGCTTTTCATCATTGCGCTTGACCCACAACTTCGCCTGAGTACAATATTTGTAAGGCTACGTGTTTTGTAAGAAATATATAACAAATACAAACATATTTCCTAACTTAAATGTTATAGTTTAAAGCACAATAATTACCCTGTATTATCTCCGGATGAATATCAAAATTCAGGTTATAAATTAGATAACCGTGGCACAGTTGTGGACTGTTCGGTAAAGGTTCTAACACCTGGGTAGAGCCAATATAATATTTTAGAGTTATATTTACTTTCTAAGATTATGGTGAACTGAAATATCGTGAGGGTCTGAACCTGGTCTTATTAATATAATTGTTAATTTAAAGTTTGAAATCGCCAATCCGACTTGGCCAAGCGCGGTGCTTGATGCAAAACCAAATCTTCTTTGTGTAATAAAAGGCCGTGTTTTGATCTGCAGTAGGCATTTATAGGCTGAAGCATGATGGTGAGATGTTAACTTGCTCACATACGGATGACTCATGACTTGAAACCGGTAGAGCTTTTCTAGGTCGACTCAGGTGAGTAAGTCCTTATTTTCGATATATTCTTGTGTCTTACGATAGTCACTATTCAAAAATAGTGTGTGACTGTTTTTTGATAATTATATATTTTGGTTTCCAATTCCTGGTATGTTACCTTATAATCCTCAGTTACAGCTTAGAACACATCGTAACATCTGTTTGAAGAAACTTGCTTTCTGATGGATGTGACTAATAGCATTACACGGTACTTTACATTCGACATGCATACGTGAATAGAATTACTTCTGTAGGGAATTCAATACATCGTTCAAGTGAAGTTTGCACCTGAATTTAAACCGACAGAAACAACGTACAAACTGCAAGACTGCAGTCTGCAAGGTTGGAAGAACTTCCTTTTACCGAGATTCGGGAACATTATATACTCTTTGGTAATGTTAATTCAGTACCAGTTAGGGAAGAGCATAATTACCGCTGTCCGGCTTTGAGCAGGAGAAGGAAAGAGGTGGCTTTAATTAGTAATAAACTGACATTCTCTCTTGCCCCGGGAAAAGTTATTGAACGATAGTCCATCTTTACGAAAATGTGGAAGAGCCATGCTTCGGCGCGAATGGGTCGGCTCAACCGGATCGATACCACGGCCTCACAGTGATGTGAGGTTACTGGAGGCCCAATCCTTCCCTAACTTCATACATCTCCAATCCCTAAATCTATGAAACTCAAATCACCCAAGGACGGCACTGCTCTGGTATCTCCTCTGGTGTTGCAGGTGTCCAAAGATACTTGCTTATCATCAGGAAGTCCGTCTGCTCGCTTGTATAGCTATCACAAAAAATCTCAAAAAAGTACCAGCGACGATGAAGCCGAATAAAATTTTTGGGCAACATTTTATAAAAACCACGCCAATTATATACAGAAATATTTACCAAATCAATGTAAGATGTGTAAAGAGTACTCAAATCAGATTGGTTTGAGAAATAGGCCTCTCATATATAAGTATTATGTATACATAATGCTTTCAGGAAATAAAAGGTGAAAATTTATATCATGTACATAAACACAGAAGCAAGCTAACCGCAAACGTAAAAGCAGCAACTTAATCACAGATATACGTAGAGAAATTCAACAAAAAAAAAAGAAATACGCAGGGAAAATATCCTGAAAAGTGCTCAGCAAAAATCCCCCTTAAGATCTTCTGGATAGAATGCACATCTGTATAAACACTTAGTCATACAGATGGTCCGTAATAAATCGTCGAGGAAAGAGGTGAGTACTGCTTTCTGGAGAAAGCGTACTTGCGGTAGGTACCTTCGCAGGGGTTTTTATGGAGCCTTTAGTGATGAGGCAAGAGAAATTTTATTGGACAATGGAAACTAGGTTTTTAGGTAAAGGAAATGTTTTATAAATAAATCGTAGATCGAGACTTGATTAGAATATCATATAACCATTTCATTTTCTACTATGATAAAGCTAACTGGGTCACCAATATACAGGCTCTGCCTAATTTGCTGCTTCTCTCATACTTGTAGTAATTTGCCTAATTAACAGAGCAGATAAAATAGAAGAGGTGTTTGACAATGATCGACCACTTTTAAATCAAGTTATGGGTGCTTAAGTTAAACTTTACGGTAAAACGATATCATCCAAAGATATACATGACTGCACGGTTGGCGCGGTGGCTGCCGCGCAACGTGTCACGGGTTCGATTCCCGCACGGAACAACTCTTTGTGTGATCCACAGATTTTTGTTCCGGGTCTGGGTGTGACGTGCATGTGAAATTGTATGTTTGTAAACGCACCTACGGCACAGGAGAAAATCCTAGTGTAAGGCAACGTTTTTTTTTAAAAAAAAAATACATGATTCTAATTTGATACGACTGTCCATGGTTGGCGATTTCCTACAATTTTATTGTGATATTGGTGATGAAAAAAACTTCAATTATAAATCCATTCAAAATAACGATTTACTCACGTGAATTAATAATGGAAATATCTGTAACTAGTTTCAAGTTAGAATGCAACTCTTAAGTGTGAAATCACGGCTGACTTTTTCAATAAATGGACTACGTTTCACGATTTTATCTGATGGTAAGCAATCAGCGCCGCTCGTGATGGCAACACTAGAGGAGTTACGAGTGCCTTGCTGGTCTTTTGGGAACTAATCCTCTAGTATTCTCATTCATTGGGTGAAACAGTGAAACACACTTTTCTGAATGGCCTTGGTTTCACTCCGGTCGAGCAGGGCCATTTGTCACGAAGCAAGGCTGTAACGACAAACTAATAGTAACGATAGTTACTATTCCACCTTTCATTCGGTTCTCATCAAGAAAGTAAGAAATAGAGCAAAAACAAAAAAATAAGAAGTAACATTTTATCGATTCAAATGCCCCACGACAGACAGTCAGCAAAAATTTTTGATGAGACCTCCATCCTCCAATTGAATTTGCACCCAATTCTCAACCAATCACGGTATAAAATCTATTTTATGTAGTTCCGTCGGTTGACTTTTTGTTCTGGGATTTTATTAAACATGTTTATTTCAATAGAAATGGAAATGTAATAACGTGAAATGATTTCTATTCGAACGATTTATTGTTTATTTTTGTTTGTTTTCAGCGAAGTTGATAAGTTTGTTTTGGTCTTTTTAATAAAGAAGTCAATTGAAAAAAGTGTGTGGTTGATATTATGTAGTACATTTTTATTACTTTGTTGTTTATTTAGTATCAAAATTGTTTTATTGAGTATCACTCCATATAACCATTTTTTGAGAGACTTGATCGAAAGAGGTTTTATAGGATTACAATTTCTTTCTTGAGAGTATTTTATGAAGATATCATCATCAGCCTATAAGTACCCTTTGATAAAAAAAGGCCTCCTACATGGAGAAGGTTTTAGAATTTATCACAGCGCTTACTCAAGGCGAATTGGCAATTTTAAACTTATTTCCCTTACTGTTTTTCCTACACCGTGCGTCAATGGTGTCTAAATAAACTGAGAAAGTACATATAACTTGATAAAAGCCACATTGACCAGGATTCGGACGCGCACCGCTTAAGAAGCGGTTCCCTTAATCTCCGGCCCATTGACAGTTAACATAAACGTTACATTTTGTTAAGTAATCTATATCTATACTAATATTATAATTGCGAAAGTAACTCCGGCTGTCTGTTTTTTCTTCACGCCTAAACTACTGAACCGATTTCTGTGGAATTTGGTTTGATAGTTATAGGACATAGGATAGTTTTTGTACCAAACATTTGCAGGAAGTCACTATTCCACGCGAACGGAGTCGCGAGCAAAAGCTATGAAATTGGCTGAATATGACTGTTTCAGGGAATGAAGGAGAAGAAATGTAAATATTTGTATCGTTGTAGCAATATACTGTTACCAATATATTTTTGGAGGTTGTGACATGTGTCATTTTATCCTTGGTAAACCTTGTAAACCTTGGTATCCAAAATATTTAGGAAAATTACTCACCAGAAGACGAAAGCAGGTGCTTCTGTAGTTTGTACCACGGAACATTGAAGTCGTAACGTCGATCCAGGCTTCAGATACTTTTCCGTTGGCCCGGAGATTTGTGCTCGCGCCTCTGTGGACAAAGAATTTGTTATATTAGTATAGGTATTATTCAAGTTAACTAACTGTACCTACATGTAAACTGTCTGTATTAGATGACAATAATATACCTTTATAACAGATTGCATGTTGAGTCAATAAATTGACTTAAAGAAAAGTCTTTAAAAACTGAAAGCAGTTACTGCTATGATGACGTTTGCACTTTTGAAAAATTAAAAATTTTCAAAAGTTAAATCCTATTATTTTGACATGTAACTAATATAGCATATTTAACTTATTTTGCATTGAGTAAAGCACTGGCAAAATCAATGTGACATTTTTCGAATTACGTGTAAATTCTAAGATTAGACAGACGGCGAAAATATTAATCTTAAAGAAATTTGGACTTTATAATTTCTTTTTATAAGTTTGAAATTACTTATCTATCTTAAGCCAGCGTGGTGAGACATGTGCATCCTTCTTCGTGTGAGATGAGACTTTTTCTTCGCAGTAGACAAATTTTATGCTATTTGTTAAAGGTACATATGATTACTTAATACAGTAACTAGCAGCCCGCCCCTTAAAATTTTTTTTCATCGAAGCCTTTACGTGACTATGTCTAACACAACAAAATAAATTTGTCAAAATTAGTCCAGGTATTATTCAGTTATGCGCTTACCAAGACATTTTGCTATCCATTTTATTATAGAAAACTAGCTTTTGCCCGCAACTTCTTTCGCGTGGAATAGTTAGCTCCTGCAGATTTTTGGTATAAAAACTATCCTATGTCCTTTCTCGAGTTCCAAACTATGTTTGTACTTACCAAATTTCACAAAAATTGGTTCAGTAGTTTAGGCGTGAAGAAAAGACAGACTGTCTGTCTGTTTTTTCTTCTTACTGGCTGTCTTTTGACAGAGTTACACCCGGTTTCTGAAAGGCTTGTCAACGCTAAAATTAACTAATCTCCTGTTAAATGTCTTGTCAAGTCATCTGATTGGTTGTTGATAATTCAGTCAACCAATCAGATGACTTGACAAGAGATTAAACTGATTTTAACATTGATCGGCCTTTCGGAAACCGGGGTTTAGTTTCGAATTTATAATATTGAGCACAGAAAGACTGAGTTACTTTCGAATTTATAATATTAGTTTGGATTTGGATTATAAAAGTCTTTAACTGAGAATTATTGATAAATTGTATTCTAATGGGATGTAAGGGGGCGAACTTCCATCTTTCGCCCCAAGCCAACCTCACCTGCACGCGGTGCATCCTGCTGGTCAACGAACGAGGCTCTGGCGACCGACCGACGGCGGTATATCCGTCCCTTACAAACAGGCGAAATTAAGTACCGCAGGCCGGTGACGGGCAGCAGCGTTACCGGTGCGAAAAGTTTCGCCCTGCGATCGCCAACCCGCCTGCCCAGCGTGGCGATTATGGGCAATACCTCCTATGGGCAAAAAACGAAGGCCACGGCCCCCAGTTCCCGGCAGCCCCACTATTCCTGGTCATGGTGGCGACCATGGTAACGGTGGGGTAGGGGGTGCTAAGAATCTCCGGGCTACGGGAGGCCACCACAACAGACTGACCCTGGCGACGTACAACGGACGCACGCTACGGCTTGACTCGCATCTAGCGCAACTAGAGGTGGAACTTGGGAAGATCAGGTGGCACATACTAGGGTTATGTGAAGTCCGAAGAGAGGGGGAGGACACGATAACTCTCAAATCAGGCCACCTGATGTACTTCCGTGAGGGAGACCAAAAATCCCAAGGTGGCGTTGGGTTTCTGGTTAACAAGTCCCTATCTAACAATGTTGTGGAAATGTCGAGTGTGTCGAACAGGGTGGCGTACCTCATTATAAAGCTCACCGAGAGGTATAGCCTTAAGGTGGTCCAAGTGTACGCACCGACCTCGGCACACTCCGATGATGAGGTGGAGGAGATGTTCGATGATATATCGAGGGCCCTCCACTCCACCACTAGGACTCACTTCAACATTGTTATGGGGGACTTTAACGCCAAAGTGGGAGTACAAAATTGCAGTGAATCGGTAGTAGGATCCCATGGGTATGGAAACAGGAATCATAGGGGGCAAATGCTCGTCAATTTCCTCGAACGGGAGGGGATGTTCTTAATGAATTCATTCTTTAAGAAGCAGCCCCAAAGGAAGTGGACGTGGCAAAGCCCCGACACTATGACAAAGAACGAGATCGACTTCATCATGGCGGACAAAAGGCACATATTCAGAGACGTCTCCGTGATTAATAGGTTTAATACCGGTAGCGATCACCGACTCGTCCGAGGCTCTCTGAATATCGACTTCAGAGCCGAACGAGTCCGCTTGATGAAGGCCAGGCTCCGACCAACCCTGTTTCAAATCAAAATGGGATCTGAAGCGTTTCAGTTAAACCTGGAGAACCGATTTGCTGCCCTGGAAACCACAACCGACGTTAACCGGAACCTTGAAAACGTGGTTCGAGTTCTCAGGGAAGAAGGTACGAGATTTTGTGAAATGCAGCGTAAGGGCAAGAAGTCGAAGCTTTCGGAAGAGACTTTAGGGCTTATGAAGAGACGACGTGAAAACCCACCCGTCACTTCGTCAGAGAAGCGGGCTCTAAACCGAGAGATTAGCAAACACGTGCGACACGATCTCCGGTGCTCGAATACCCTTGCAATCGAGAGAGCGATCGAGCAAAACCGGGGGCCAAAAGTGTTCGTACAATCTCTTGGAAGAAGCCACCTGACGAAGTTGACCACAGCAAGTGGAGAAGTCGTTGTCTCGAAGCCGGCAGTTCTTTCGGAAGTAGAAAACTTCTACGGCCGGTTATACGCTTCGCATGCATCTCGACCTGACCCCGGAAATGAGGACTCTAGAGCCACTTTAATACGCCATTACACCGAAGACCTGCCAGAAGTCAGCATTGACGAAATCGAGATCGCTCTTGGACAGCTTAAAAATGGAAAAGCCCCTGGAGAGGATGGCGTTACGACAGAGCTTCTAAAAGCAGGCAGCAAACCGGTACTCAGGGAGCTGCAAAAGCTATTTAACGCTGTCCTGTTTGAAGGGAGAACTCCAGAGGCGTGGAGTCGGAGTGTGGTCGTCTTATTCTTCAAAAAGGGTGACAAAACCCTACTGAAGAATTATCGACCCATTTCCCTTCTAAGCCACGTCTATAAGCTGTTCTCGAGAGTGATCACGAACCGCCTTGCGCGAAGACTTGACGAATTCCAACCACCGGAGCAGGCTGGGTTTCGGAGCGGATACGGCACCATAGACCACATCCACACAGTGCGGCAGATTATACAGAAGACTGAGGAGTATAATCAGCCCCTGTGCCTAGCATTTGTGGACTATGAGAAAGCCTTTGACTCGGTCGAAATATGGGCTGTCCTGGAGTCCCTGCAGCGATGCCAAGTAGATTGGCGATACATCCAAGTGATGAGATGTCTCTACGAGGCCGCCACCATGTCCGTCCAAGTACAGGATCAGCAAACAAGGCCGATACCGTTGCATCGAGGTGTGAGACAAGGGGATGTTATCTCCCCGAAATTGTTCACAAATGCAATGGAGGATATGTTCAAGACGCTGAACTGGAAAGGACGCGGCATCAACATAAATGGCGAGTACATCTCTCACTTGCGATTTGCAGACGACATCGTCATCGTAGCAGAAACGCTGCAGGACCTACAACGGATGCTGAATGACCTGGCTGACTCTTCTATACGCATCGGCCTACGGATGAACTTGGATAAAACCAAGGTCATGTTCAATGAACATGTACTACCGGAACCGATTGCAGTACACGGCGCTGTTCTCGAAGTCGTTCAAAAATATGTATACCTCGGGCAGACATTGCAGATGGGTAGAAACAACTTCGAGAACGAGGTGAATGGAAGAATTCAGCTAGGTTGGGCAGCATATGGAAAGCTGCGTCAAGTCTTCACGTCGTCGATCCCACAGTGCCTAAAGACGAAAGTCTTCAATCAGTGCGTCCTACCTGTCATGACATACGGAGCCGAAACGTGGACACTGACGGTGCGGCTGGTTCACAAGCTAAAAGTCACTCAGCGAGCTATGGAGAGGGCTATGCTCGGCGTTTCTCTGCGAGATCGAATCAAAAACGAGGTGATCCGGCAGAGAACCAAGGTAATCGACATAGCCCACCGGATTAGCAAGCTGAAATGGCAGTGGGCTGGCCATATTAGCCGAAGAACCGATGACCGTTGGAGTAGACGAGTTCTTGAGTGGAGACCGCGTCTCGGCAAACGTAATGTAGGACGTCCTCAGGCAAGGTGGAGTGATGATTTGCGCAAGATGGCTGGCAGGAGCTGGATGCGAGTGGCCGAAGATCGATCCCAGTGGCGTGCAATAGGAGAGGCCTATGTCCAGCAGTGGACTGAAAAGGGCTGATGATGATGATGATGATGTATTCTAATATGACTTTATAAAAACCCAGACACAGTAATCTCAATGTCTCAAACAGCTATCAATCCTAAAATAACACAACCTCTCTCTATGTTAGTTGATATTACTGAATTAATTGTATTTTCTTTCTATCTTTTGCTATTGTTATAGTATATTGTGATCACTCCTAGACTTTATGTTAAGATCGAGTTCGTAAAATATTTCATAAAAATCACAATTTATACATATGTGATTTAAAAAATTAACTTCAGATTTTTGCTTTTTTAGAAGTATGCGGTAAAAGAAAAGACGGATTACCTGGTGATAAACCATCGAGGCTTCTCATGAACTTTAATGATGCCAGAGGATTTGAGAATTGGAGATTTGGGGAGGGGATTGAAGATATGGGGGAGGATAACGCCACATTACACACCGGTTTTCTGCGTAACCGTGTCTCACTCACTATCACTCCGATCGAGCCTGCCAACCGTGTCGTCATTCCGGTCGAGCAGACCTATTCGTGCCGAAGCATAGCTCTCCCACTTTTCAACTGTTATGACTTTTATCCCTATTTTAAAATGTTATTATTCAACAATACCTACATTGCTTTGTCAAGCCAATATACTCAATTTGTACGCTGGCAACTCAAGTCGACTAGTTCACACAATGGTTAACTACAACAGTCAATAACTAAGCTTGCATACACGTTGCTTTCAACATTTCATCTTAAATCTCTTGTGGTCGCTTGAACTTTGAATATATTGGCGTTCCACTATATTCCTAGTTCAGTCGATCTAGGCTACTGCTTGCTATTGTTCCTATAATATTTTATGGATACCTTCAATCATGTTAGTGGCGGAATTGAGCTATGAAGTGAGTTGGAAATGTATAACCTCAAATTTTTTTTTCTAATTTGCTTATTTGAATTTTGAATTCCGAATTAGACAACCAGTTATTGAGAGTTTTAATTCAAAATATTGTACTATTAAAACAAAACAAACTTATACTTTAAAGGTACGTGCACGTTTCCGCGCGCGCGCGTCAAATAGCCAATAGACCACCACAGACGGGGCTATAAAGCTGTTGTTCAGCTGGGTTTGCGGGTTAAGCGCAATGAGTCACCGCGGCCTCGGCCCAGAGCAAGTGAAGGAACAGGGGGTTTTTTGGTTTTAGTCAGTAAGAGTCTGACACTCTCTCTCGCCTTACCCTGGGCGGGAAAGGTCATTTGTTGATTTTCCCCTAACAAAAAAAAAAACGTGCTCGTTAAATCCCGTAAACCAGCAAAGTATAAATAAACCTATATCACACTTTTTAATAAACTTTAAAAACAATCAAATCGCGCGCGTTAAGCATCTGTCAAAGTGAAAAAAGTTCGGTTTGTGCCCCATTTGGTGGACAAAATAGTGATGTCCCATGTCGAACGATTTATTTTTTATGTCATAGGTCTGCAAACGAGCAGAAGAATTACCTGATAGTAAGCAATCAGTGCCGCCCATGGACACCACAACGGAAGAGTTTCGAGGGCGTTGCCAACATTTTAGGAATTAGGATTTTGAAGATTTAGGGATTGGGGGTGGGGAAGGATTGGGCCTCTGGTAACCTCACTCACACGGCGAAACACAACGCTGTGGTTGTTTCACGCCAGTTTTCTGTGTTTTTTCAGCTTAACAGTACAAATAAGTGCTATGTGAGGTCGTTCCGCAAAAATATTCGTGAACACGTCGTAAAGAATAGCGAATTCCTTCACGATTTCTTCTAAGTAATTTATTTGTTACTTCAAGCAAAGTGGACACTTTTTTCCGAATCAGACTTGGTATACTTTTTAAACACGTTCAGTATGGTTGATGTTTGCTGAAGTTATTGTAGAGGAGAGCCTTCTACGATTAGGGTTGACAAGCGAGATAATGTATGCACCATGACCCCTTCCAGAGCAGATTTATTTTAGTCTGTAGTGTGACATTCTCTTTCGCCCCAGCCAGGGCGGGAAAAGCCATTTGATGATTATCTTTCCTCACAAAAATGAAACGTAACTACGATAAAAAGTATCATCTCTAATTAGTCATACTAATTATTGTAACACTAGAACTGTCAATGTCAGTGTCATCTTCTAGTATAAATAAGGTGGCCGAGAGAGTGTCGGCCATTGACAATGTAACTCTGGTGCAGTGAGCTGGCCGACTGTGTACTGTGATATTAAAGTCAAGTATCCAAGATCCAAGTTTTTTATTCATATTACAACGAGAACGATCACAAAACGGGTTTTCTGACACATATCACAGCTAGATGATTTTAAAGTTCAGGCACATTTTACAAACCTGTACTAATGATATTGTTACGGTAACATTTAGTAAGGACTGGATTTTGTTATCATTTAATGATTCTGAGTATGGCGGTAAGGGTAAGCTCAACCACCGGGCCAAAAGTCTTTGATGGTGGTCCGGGGGTTGAGGCTCGGACCTGGCAAGTACCAATGTGGCTTTTTCCAAATTTTATGTACTTTTCAAGATTATTTCGACACCAAACAGAAACGGCGAAGTAAAATATCGTGAGACTTGAGATTGATGAGGACTAACGATTTTTAATTATAAATCGCCACTCCACTTTGAGCAAGTAAGCGTGGTGATTAATGTCTAAAATTTCTCCGAGAAGGGGCCTTTGCTCAGCAAACTAAGCTATGATGTGAAGTCTTACTCCATTGACAATCGCGGAGACTGCCTCAAATAGGGTCAATAGGGAGATTTATATAAAACACGTTTCGCAAAATGTTGGCCATCCAATTTCTGGAGTAATTCGTTTGCATTACTATGGACATTACTTTCGCATGACATCACTCGGCCCAAATCGAAATTTCATTCCTTTACGCAACTCGAGATGGATATATAAGTCCGTCAGGTCCATGTTAAGCTGACGTTTTTGCACACGACAAAAAGAATTTAAAATATTTCGCTAAAAAGGGAATATATATACTATATTTTAAAAATATTTTACGTGATAAAATTATAGGCGAGGAATTTCTTATAGGGAAATTAAAAATTGTGATGGGAGGTAGCGTGTTTTTTACTGGTAATGGAATAATAAATTAATCGTATCGAGTTGATAAAGCGCTTTTACGGTAACGAAATCGCTGTAATTGCTGAATTTTGTTTTTTTAATACACGATACATAAAATGAGCAATTTCTTGTTCCTTTTTCGCCAACCGAATATGGCGAAGCTCTGAGTATTATGATGTTTCGTGTAATATCTTTTTTTATATGATATGGCGGCAAATGATTTTATGGATTACCTGCCAGTAAGCAATCGTCAATGTTTGGTATGGCAGTTAGTCCGTTGCAAGTGCGTTGCCGGTCTTATGAAGAAAAGGGTAAGTATTTTGGGGATTTAGGACTAGGAATTTATTTGCTGGTGGTAAGAGATCGGTTACGTCTGGTGCCATCTGGTAGTGTTGCTGAATTTTTAAGATAGTGATTTTAAATTGGCTATTGGAGGGGGGGGGGGGGGGAGAGGAAGGTAGCGAAAGCGAGGTTAATCGGTATGCAGTCTTCACCGCCCATGAAAACCCGCAACACCAGAGAAGTTAGGTGTACGTTGTCGGCCTTTGAAAAGAACGAACGCCTATTCGACGCATCTTGTGACCTAGGTCTGGTTTGTTCTTCTAGCAGAAGATAAGTATTTCCATGTAACGTGTCAATGCTGCCAATCTTCTGGCCACATTTTACCCATTAACATCGATATGGATGAATTTTTATTATTATAAATAATCGAACCAACATAATAAAGTAACAAACAATCTGTATGTTAAACTGATTTAAGAAGACTAACCATGGTTTTTATAATAACTATCGTGAGACATACTAAATCAACTAAAAATTGCGGCTTACTCACGTGTATAAATTGAGAAAAGCTCTACTAGTTTCGAACCACAGAGGGGTTCTTCCTCATGAGCAGCGTGCGCGGACGCGGCGACGTCGTCGACGACGACGCCGCCCTCTGTGGTTCGAAACAAGTAGAGCTTTTCTCAATTTATACACGTGAGTAACCCGCGATTTTTAGTTGATTGACTAACCATGGTGTTTCTTGCTCGTTCTTCTCTATCGGAATGTACACTTTGGAACGAGCAATAGCGCCACTAAGAAGTCTGACAGATAACTGACACTTTTTACCCATAAGCTTTGTTTGACGTTCAAAAGTGCCTGTAAGGGTATAATTGAAATGAATGATTTTGACTTTGACTTTGATAGCTTATCATTTTATTTTTATTTTAAATAATAGATGACTGTATAAATGGTTTATGTTAGTTATAATTGTACACATTTCTTGTTAACAAATGAATAGTACATTTATCGGAAATTCTATTCACAAACTCCATCAGATATTCAGAAACCACGTCATACTATTATAATGTTATCCTACTGTTAAATCAAGTTAATACTAAAATAATTATCCTATTGAAATCCTATTAGGAACTAACAAACACAGTTAGTGTAGCTATTATTTCACTCATTGTAACGTTCCAAGAATCGTATATTAGTTTGTGTAATACCAACATTGATTTAGACAGAAATTGTCATATATTGTGTGTTGACTACCTCGAAACGAATGTCAGTGGTTTACAAAACTAAAATGTATAGTATATATATCGTATGTATAGTAAGTGTGGGAGAGCCAGGCTTCGGCACGAATGGGTCGGCTCGACTGGAGTGATACCACGGCCTCACAGAATACCGGCGTGAAACAACCACAGCGTTGTGTTTCGCGGTGTGAGTGATAATAGACCGTGGTATAATCACTCCAGTCGAGCTGACCAATTCATGCCGAAGCTTGGCTCTTCCACACTTTGAATTTCAAATTCTTATTATATGCAATGCTTGCCAATGATATATTCGAGAAGAGAATCAATCTACAGACCTGTAGGCCTACCATTATGTGTTAAAGCGCCAATCTTCCTGGCGAGAAAGGGAGATGGCTTTTATAGCTCCATCCCTCTATCCCTCGTCATGGCAGGCCCTCTGATTTCGGCAGTGGCGGGTGTGACCTCTTTTTAAAAAGTAGTGGATTACTCTGAAGAGCCTTTTTAGGAACTTTTGGGTGTACATAATAATATTAACACTATCTCCGCCATCTTCTAAAGCAACTCAGTTATTATAAAGAGATGGTCAATTGAAGTTTTGTTTCATACTATTTTTAACCGATGCAAAAAGAGGGGTGTTATAAGTTAGGCGTGTCTGTCTGTCTGTCTGTCTGTCTGATTTTTTGTAGGGTGTTTTTAAATTTTTAAATTTATAATTACTATATTTTTGACTTGTTTTTAATCCTTAAGTGCGTATCAAATTTGCTTTTACATAAGCCCTTTTGTACTTCACCCGCCTGGGTGGATTAAAGGGGAGTGTCAGACTCTTACTGGTTACAAACCACCTCGTTCCATCTTATTTATTTATTTATTTTTCATGCACATCACACATACAGTAAATACGAAAACAAATACAGAAACAGAGGTACATAGGTACTGCATATTCCTATGTGGAATCTCTTCCTGCAGTCCTTATTTTTCTGTATCATCTGGTCCTGGA